TATATATATATATATTGCATGATCTTATCACTACAAGACAAAGTTTAAAACATGTTCCCGGACCCCGAATATGTTATTCCAACAATAATTATGTAAATGTCTAGAGGTTTGATATTCTAACATTTCCGGGCCATCATTTAATTACATATTGTTATGGGTATTTAAGATTTAATTTGATAACACATGTAACTTGAAAAAAATTCATGTATGACTATTTTAATGCCACATTTGGTAAGTTTTAGAAGTTTAGTTAGGAACATGAAAAATAAATAAATAAATATATGCTCTCATATATTTGATTGAAAATCTAAGCAATATATCGGGATGCACTAAAGCTATTGCATGTCTTATTTAATTTTGCATCTTCCTATTTATCAACTTGATCAAAAGGGACATGGGTCCATATAACTATATGATTGTTACATGTTGGGTACCAAAAATTCAATAATTCATATACGGATTTATGAGGGTGTTATTGTTAGCTTAATAGTTTGTTATTTAGATTATAACTTCCTGAATTTTGGGTTTTCACCGAGAAAAACTATTAAATTACACTACCATGGATAAATATTTCAGATTTTGATTTTTTTTGGATTATATTTTTCAGTTTTATGTTAGTTTTTTTATTTTGTTTCTGATTTTTTTTTATTTTTATCAAATAAAGAATTATATAATATTTAATTAGATTTTTATTGAGATTTTTATAGTCTAATTGCCCGTGACTTTCAACATAAAAAGAAACCCAACTTTGATTAAAATTTATTCTCCTCGATTTCCCCTCTAAATTATTGTTTGGTATCTAAAATTTAAATTGAATAAAACACTTTTCTTAGCTTATAATAACAAAATTATTAAAAAAAATATTCTCATTAAGGAAAAAAAAACACAACAAAGGAATGCGGCTTCTCGGAGCAGATTCAGGCCACCATGTGCTCCGGCTACATGTGTCACACAGCCTCTATTACTTTATATAAACAAATCAAATTAAATAATTCTATTAATTAACATATAATTAAGCTAGGTGTTATCCTTAGTTAAAATACATGGATAAAAACAAACATATGATGATTATCGATTACATTTTCGTTTTGTTTTGTTTGTAATGTAGAAATATATATATAAATAAATATATGTAAAAAAAAAATATGGGAGGAGAGAAGAGTCAAAAGTGGCCATTCGAGGAGTCTTTGGGGTTAATCAATAAGGCAAATCTCTTCATAGATTCTAAGGGCCAATCAACTCGTTGGTCCACTCCTACTATAAAAGTACATTTTTTGGAGCTTTATTTTTGTACCAAAGTTATGATATTTCTTTTTATATATTTTCCAAATTTTTACTTTTTTAAATAAATAAATAAATAAATGGAGCGCTTATAAATTTATATAGATTATACATAATAGACAATCTAGAAAATTATTATAGCGGTGGATTTAAATATGTTCGAGAGATTTATTTGCAAAAACAATTAACATTATTTCGAATCAATTTGTTATCACATTTTTTATTATAAAATTAGGTTTAATAGTATAAAAAAAACACGAATTCCTCCATTTTTTTGTGTTCTATTTGTTATATAGCCTTTTATTTTTGTATAATTTGATTAGGAAAAAATAATAGAACTTGAATGTCTGTAGAAGGATGTTTTGTAAATTTAGGACAAAACATATATGTGTAGTATGCAATTGAAGTTGTTCATATTTGCTATAGTTTTCTTTTATGCACATCTATTATCTATTTTTCAAGTCCAACCAAATATCACACCAATATCATTACACACACACACACACATATATATATATATGTATATATATACATATACATATATCCTGTGCCCTTTGGTGCAACAAGCGTTTCTTTTTTCTTTTTATGTTTCCATGAAAAGAAAAGGAGGAGAAAGTTCCCTTTTGAAGATGCCTATAGTTTTGGGAGTGACTGAAAATGGACATATGCTCAACAAAAACCATAATATATAAAATTGTATACAAAATATAATCTTTCCTTTAAATTAATCCAAGCGTCGACGAAGATGGGATTCTTTCAAAAAAGGCATATTATTTAAATAAAATTTATGGATATTCCAAATTAAAAAGTATCCCAATTTCAAATCGGAAAATAAAACATTTATTAATTTTTATCGACCGGGCTTTAGGCTGATTTGGGCCTTGGTTTGGGCTTTAGGTCATTATCATCATTCAACTGAAAGACTGTGACATTGTAGCATCATATATGAAAAGCCCAGCTTATTTTTAAATCATGTAATGAACCGGAGACTAAACCAATGAACCTTTTGGATCTGGTTGGATTATTTTCATTAAAAAAAATTATAAATTATTCGGTTTTTCTATACCGGTTTGGTTCGTCTTGATTCTATTTCGGTTCCTGTATGGTTTAGTTTTGTTTTTTATAGATAACAATATTTATTTAAAAAAAAATCATTTTTTTATTCATTTTTATTCGGTTCTTTGGAATTATTATTATTATTATTAGTATTCGATATTCGATTGGTCGGTTGTTAACCAGATTTACCTATAAACCTATCATATTCTCAATTAAATCTCCAAAAGGCCCATTTAAATGGGCCTATTCGGGAAATTAGGCCCATTTCATGAGACAATCAGCTGATCGAGTACTTTGACCAGCTATCCGATGTGGCAGTAAATTATTGGTTGCCAAACAAAACAAACTAGTAATAAAACTGGGGAAAGCAAGGATATATAGTACATAAACCATGTCATAACCGTAATAAAACCGATGTTTAAAGGGTAACACCGTAATTAAGAAGGGAATTATCCAAAGTCTTCCCCCTTAGTCCCTCTCCTCAAACGAAATGGAAACATTGGGTTCAGTTTCGCACGCACCCAGACCTTTTTAATTCCCTCGGTATCATTTGGCTTCCTTTACATTTTCTCCGTACCAATCTCGCCGCCACCGGTGGATTTCCGGCGATCTGTTGTCTCCGGTCGCGGTTTATCATCTACGGAGTTTGTATTTATTCTGTTAGGGTTTGCGACTGTCCTCGTTCTATCAAGGTCTGAATCTCGGCCTGCCGTATCGATTTTAGGGTTTCTGTTTTCTCCATTTTTCGAGGATTGAATCATCGTTTTCTCGAGTGTCTCGGGTTGAGTAATTTTGGTTACGGAAGTTACTCTCTAGGGTATTTGAATTTTTCGTGCTCGATTCGGCTTTTGGGTCGTCAAGGATTTCGTTTTTTCTTCTCACTGTTCAGTGATTTCCGGAGATGCCGCGGAGTTCGAGGCATAAATCGAGCAAGCATAGCTCTAGGGATGCGAGAGAGCACTCTGATTCGGAGAAAGAATCTAGTTTGAGGGAGAGAAAGAGCAAAGGCGAGAGTAGTATTAGGGTTTCGAAGGAATCGGGTTCGGGAGACAAACGCAAGCTTGATTCCAAGGAGTATTACGATTCATTCAACGGTGAGTATGGGGAGTACACTTCCTCGAAACGCCGCAAAGAAAAAACAGAAGACAGCGTTAATGATAGGTGGAATGGCGGAGATGGGGATAGAGGGGAGAGTCTGAAGAAGTCGAAGACTTCAAGTGAGAAGAGTAGGAGGAGAGAGGAAGTAGAGGGTGAAGAGACGAGGAAAAATAGTTCTAAGAGTGACGGAAAACATAGGGAATCAAGTCGAAGGGAAAGCAAGGAGATTGGGAAGGAGAAGGATCGAGACAGAGACAGGGATCGCGACAGGAAGCATAAAGAAGGGAAGAGTGAGAAGTTGTATGATGGTGAAGACCACTATGGATCCAAGGTGGTCTCTGATAAAACTGGTAAGGTAACTCGATCATTTGATGATCGATTTAGTAATGACATGACCTCTGAAATGCTTGTTTCCATTAAATTTGAATGTCGAGTCTCAATGCATGTCCTTCTCGTGTGTTTTTTCTTATGTTGTCAGAGGATATTTTCTTGAAAAGACCCTGATTGGTTATCAATATTTAGTTAGTTTCAATAAAAAGACAGTTGATTTGGCTGTTTTGCAACCTGCATTGCGATTAATTCCATAGCCAAAGCTCGAGATTCAATGGGTTTCTTGCAGTTTCTGAGACGGATTAAGATTCTCGTTGGCAGACAAATTTAAGGATGCATTGTTTTATGAAGAGGTTCTAGCATCTTGCTATGTCTTCATTACTGTTGCTACTTGGCATTGGTTGCATGATTGTATCCCTTGCTACTATTCAGGAATAAGCATCTATGGGCTAGTTAGTTTGGTGATCTCAATCTGATGAACTAAGTCTCGAGTAACAACAAGATGGCCGCTACTAACTAGGGAGGTCTAAAAAGTTAGATAGTGAAAAATAGATTTTTTCTATACCTTTTCTAATCTTTTTTCTTTAAATAAAATATTTCAGACTTGAATGCTCAAGATCAGTTGCAAAGTCCAGGGTCGGAAAATTATTCTCAGAAGCGAGCAAGGCGAAAGAAGGATGACTATGGTGATGGGGATAAGCATCAAGATAGCGTCAACGATGTAAGTGAGAGGCGGGGTGAAAACATTAAAGATGGCTATGTTAAAGATGGAAGACAGAAGGAAGAGAATCCTGGAGATGTTGAAGTTGAGAAACAACGGGGTGAAAAGCAGAAGGATGACCGACCCTCTAAAGAACACTCAAGGTCTGATGATAAGCTCTTCTATTGTTGGGGAAATCTTCTTCCGAGATGAGAAAGAGGCTTCTGAAAGTAAACGGAGGAAATCAAAATTTCAGGAGAACGACCATGACCTTGGGCATGAGCCTGACAGTGAACATGATGGATATCGTGACCGTTCTCGTGATTATGAACGCAGTCGAGACTATGATCGAGGTCGAGATCGGGACCGTGAGCAAGATAGGGACTGGGATCATGAGCGAGATAGGGATCATGATCGGAATAGAGATAGGGATCGGGAGCGTGATCACGATCCCGATCACGGTCTTCGCGATTATGAGCATGACAGGGACCGTGATCGGAGTAGAGATCGAGACAGGGGTCATGATAGGGAAAGGACCCGTGACAGAGAGAAAGACCGTAGTCGTGATTACTATCATGATCGAGAACGAAGCAAAGGCGAATGTGACAGAGATTTTGATCGGGACAGCCGCCGTCAAAAGGATAGTAGGGA